CCCCATGACTGCATCTCTGCTGCTTGGAGAAGAAAGCAGCAGTTGCTAAATTGCATCTTTTTGTGTTCACCTAGAACAACAGTAACCCAGCGGAGGACCTCCGCCGTGCCCCACCAGGACTCCTCGCCCTCGACAACATGGTGTATTTCTCCAGGCACACCCCCAACGCCTACAGCAGGGTGCGTGCTCTCTCCTGGAGATCAACCTGGTGGAGAGGTGCTGGTGGATCTGCACCTTCCCCTTTCCCCTTCTTTTTCCCCTTTCCCCTTCTTTTTCCCCTTTCCCCTTCTTTTTCCCCTTTCCCTTCTTTTTCCCCTTTCCCCTTCTTTTTCCCCTTTCCCCTTCTTTTTCCCCTTTCCCCTTCTTTTTCCCCTTTCCCCTTCTTTTTCCCCTTTCTCCTTTGTTACCTGTCCTTGGCCAAACCCAGGCAGGGATGTCCCTGTTGGGCAGGTGTCCTACTATTACCCTGTTTCAGATGAAGCCAAGTCCTCCCTGTGGGTAGGAGCAGGTGTTTGAGGGCTGGTGGCACTGAAGAGTCCCCATAATTTTTAGTGTTTTACCCACAGCTGGGTTTCTAGGCCTTGTTCATGTCTGATCAGACCAGGGCAATTTGGGCAAAACCAGCAGAGCATGAGCCACACTTCAGCCTGCTGTGTCTGTGATCAGCTCCTGCACTGTGGCAAGGGAAGGAGGGGACTGGGGCTGGACTTTGGGGAGAGATAACTAGTTGTTAGAGGTGGCTTCACCTGGGGGGACAGTTCAACCAGGAATTTCAGGAGGAGCATGGGATGCCTGAGCCCCACCACTGGGGCAGCCTCCCGAGTCCGTGGCCAACGTAACACAAAGCAACGGCCCTCTCCTCCAGTTTGTCCTCGAGAACAGCAGCCGGGAAGACAAACACGAATGCCCCTTCGCTCGAAGCAGCATCCAGCTGACCCTGATCCTCTGTGAGATCCTGCACGTTGGAGAGCCGTGTATGTGTGTGCCCCAGCTTGCCCACCTCCCTGCCCTGCTGCCGGCCGGCTGGCAGGAGCAGGAACAAGCTTCCAGGGCAGGGCACTGTGCATCTGGTGTGGCCGACAGCAGGGGAAGGGGAAGGAGGGCTGGGAAATGTCCTGGTTCTCCTGGGCACTGAAATCCCCTGGAAAAACTGGGGAGTCTGGCATCATCTGTCCTTTTCACCACAGGCTCGGAGACGGCTCAGGCCTTTTACCCTATGTTCTTCGGGCAGGACCATTTCTTTGAAGAGCTCTTCTGCATCTGCATCCAGCTGGTGAACAAGACCTGGAAGGAGATGCGTGCTACCCAGGAGGACTTTGACAAGGTGCGGGGGGATGCTGAGCTGTGGGCTGTGCATAAATTCAGGGGCTCTGGGGAGCGTTACCAGACTGGGGGTGGTGTGCTGGGCCCCTGCAGGTGCTGCAGGTGGTGCGGGAGCAGATCACCAGGACCCTGTCCCTCAAACCCACCTCCCTGGAGCTATTCAAGACCAGAGTGAACGCGCTGAACTACAGCGAGATCCTGAAGCTGCGGCAGACGGAGCGGCTGCACCAAGAGGAGACACTGGCTGTGCCTGTGCTGTGAGTGGGCTGCGGGCAGGGAGCCAGAGCTGCGGTGGGGGACTGGGCTGTGGGGGAGACGCCGTGGGGTGGGGGAGGTCAGCAAGCGCCTGTTGAAGTGACCGTGCTCCTCTTCTGCTGGCTTCTGTCCCAGGGAGTTGCGTGAGAGGCTGAAGCCGGAGCTCCTGGAGCTGATCCAACAGCAGCGCCTGCTGCACCTCTGCAAGGGCACCCTCTTCCGCAAGATCAGCAGCCGCCGCAGGCAGGGTGAGTGCTGGCCCTCTGCTCCTGCGAGTCCCGGGAGGGGGTTAAAGGCTTGTCCCCACTTCCCCTGACACTGGGAAAGTCACAATTAATCTGCAGGGAGTAGCATGCCCGGCTCCCTGGACCGACAGCGTGGGCTCACCCATGGGGTGGGATGTGCTGATGAGGGGGCAGCTCTATCCACGTGGGGATGGGGGGACCTCAGCAGCAGGGGGCTGAGCATTTCCGAACGGCCCTTCTGCTGCAGACAAGCTCTGGTACTGTCGCCTGTCACCCAACCACAAAGTGCTGCACTATGGGGACGTGGAGGAGGGGGTGCACTCTCCCCCCATCGAGAGCCTGCCAGAGAAAAGTAGGTGATGGAGGGAAAGAGGGGGTGAGAAGGAGGGAGGGGAGCCCTCTGCCCACCCCAGCTCTGACCTGCTGGGCGTGCCTTAAGGTGGGAGTTGCCCCTCTGCCTGGCTGCCTGGCCCAGTGGCCACTGGTACCATGGGTTTGGGAGTTGTGGGAGTTCAGGCTGGGGCAGGCTGGCTCTCCAAAGGATGCTGCAGAGTGGCTTGAGCCCCCCCACCCTGAATTGCGGGTGGCTGTGAGCCCCGACACTTGGGCTCTGCTGGGCTCTGCACACCGGAGACCTCGGGGAGAGGAGAGGAGAGGAGAGCGGGCCCTTACAGCTCCTCCGCTTGCCCCAGTTCCTGTGGTGGACATGAAGATGCTGCTCATGGGGAAGGAGTGTCCACACATGAAGGAGAAGAGCTCTGGGAAGCAGAACAAGGTCAGCACCTCCCACCCCACCTTGCGCAGGGGGCCCAGCACCCTCCCCTCTCGAGCTGCTGCTGATTTTTGGTGGTGGGTGGATGGTGCCAGGTTGGGTGGTTTCACAGACAGTGGCAGGTTTTTCATGTGGTTTGAGACTGGAGACCTCTTGGGTCTTCTGGGGCACAGAGGAGGCAGCTGGGAGGCAGCTCCTGCTCTGAACCCCACTGGGGCTGGAGAGAATCCAGCTGAGAAGCTGGCTACCCCCTGTGCTGAACCCGCAGGATGTCCTGGAGCTGGCCTTCTCCATTGTGTATGATGTGGAGGAATACTGCCTTAACTTCATTGCTCCCACTCGGTATGAGGTGAGGTCCAAGGGCCCCCTGGGGAGGCACGCTGTGGCCAGATATCCTTGCCAGGGGATAGCAGGTGGAAAAGGGGGTGTGTGTGTCCCAGCCCACCCTCCTGGGATTCCCTGGGGTGGGACCCACGGACAAGGAAGAGGTGGACTCTCCAGCTGCCCAGGGCTGGTGCCAGAGATGCCCGTGCTCTGCTTCCCTAGTTCTGCCTCTGGACGGATGGACTGAACGTGCTCCTGGGCAAGGAGATGATGAGTGAGCGAACGCAGACAGACCTTGATGTCCTGCTGTCCATGGAGCTCAAGCTGCGGCTCCTGGACCTGGAGAACATCAGCATCCCTGACACCCCCCCTCCCGTCCCAAAGCCCCCCAGCAACTTAAATTTCTGCTATGACTTCAGCCACACAGAGCAGTGAGCTCCTCCCTGTGCCCCATTGCCCTTTCTATGCCCCCCAAAATCAACCCCCGGCTCTGTCCTCCCATCTCCTGCCCAAAGAGGCGAGCTCAGGTGCTGCTGGCTGGGGGCTGGGGTGTGTGCTGCCTGCACCTTGCCCATCCCAGGGCAAACCTCCCACCCTTCCTGTCTATGTCCTGCCCTCTTGTGAGAGCACAGGGCTGAGCTACTGAGCCTCAGACTCCTGTTCGAGGGGGGGTGACCCAGCTGCTTTGCTCCCCTGCCACTGGCAGGTGAGACAAAATACTTTCCAGACAGCCAAGCCTCTCTGTGGTGGCACTGATCCCCCCGCCTCCACAGTCAGTCTTTGGGCACAGAGGGCAATCATGTGGGCAGGAATAAAGGTAAAAGCAGCCCTGGGGCAGCGCTACAACGGTACGAATCTGCACAGCCTGGCTCTTCTTGTCAATGTAGGGGATCCTTTCTGACCAAGAAGGGGGTTAGAAAAGGATAAAACCCTTTCTGCTCAGTTTGGCGATCAGGTAGCATCTCCAGAGAATGGTGTGCCTACCCAGCCAGGCCTGTGCTGCACTGAAACGTTTTTCTATGCTCCCACTCCTGAAAGGGGGGTGTTTAGGGTACAAGCCCCCTCTCCCAGTGCCATTCCAGCTGGGTGGGGGCTTGCTGCTGCTGTGCCTGGTGTGAGGAAGAGACCCTGGTCCGCCCTTGCTGCCCAGTGCTGCAGCACTTATGCGAATCCTGGTGCCTTCCCCCGCCCCAGGCGGGTACTTGCACACTTCAGCCATGCTGCTGCACTACCGCACCACGACAAGCTACCTCCTTCCCGGCCCCTACGGCTCCCACCCTGGCACCCTGCACCTTCTCGTGCCTACAGCTTCTCCCAGGGGTGTTGCGGTAACAACTGAAGCCGCAGGTCGCTGGGGCTCTGACCGTGCCTCTGCCTCCCGTCTGTTGGGACAATAAACACTTGTGGAAAACTCCGGGCTGTGTCTTTTCCAAAGGTTTGGGGAAGGGGTCAGGCTGACTGCGGGGCAAAAGGGCCAAAGCAGGCAAGACTGGGACTGTGCTGCAGCACTGGAGGAGCATGAAGAAGCTTGGAGGGTGGCTGGTAGGAAGGTTTTGTTACTCTGAGCAGGTATGGAGCTGTGTCACATCTGAGGATGGTGGCCTGGGGCTACAGCCAAGGCTGTTTCCAGCCCAGGAAGGTTTAGGAGCACTGCAGGTGCTCTCGGTGGCAAGTTGGACAGGTTCAGCTCCTGCAGGTGGGGCAGTGCTTCTTGGGCTTGGAAAGCAGCAGGTCAGCCCTAAAAAAGTCTGTTACAAGGAAAAGCACGGCTGCCGAAGGTGGTCTGTGGGGCTGCCACCCTGCAGGGACGGGCTCTGCCGCTCCAGCTGCACACGCTGGACCCCTCCCCGCAGCCAGTGGAGGTAACTGCGGGAGGCGAGGGCAACGCGGCTCACAGGGCTTCAGGTCAGGCTCTCGCTGGCTGGAGTGCGCTCGGACACCTTCTCCTGAGAGCCAAGGGAAGGCACCAGGCACGAGCGGCCGTACGGGAGGGGCTCGGGCGGGAAGGGCCGGCGCCG